TCCATTTGGGCTTAATCCCGTACCTTTCGCTCAGGCATGCATAATATAAATTTGCCAAGCGCGATTAGTTTCCTCTGTAAGAACTTCGAGGTTAGCGCGATCAGTGAGGATCGGCTAACAAGCAAGATTGGAAGGTAAGTGAGTGTGAGAGTTGGGCGATCCGAGGAGCTGGTGTCAGGTATGAGGGGTTGACGTGCGGGGCCACGCCGGACTGTGGCGCACAGGCGATCCTGACTTGCATGCTCGAACTAAGCGGGGTGATAACTCTGAGTGGATACGCGGCGACGGACTGGTGGTATCAAGGGTGTCAAGCAGAGAGAGAGAGAGAGAGAGCAGTTGTGGGCACGGGATGAGGTTTTTTTCCTTGTTCATCTATATAATTTTCAATCCGGATATGGCCAGTTTTGTCGCGGCCCCTCCTTTTTGAACTTCTCTTTGTAAATTGTCTCGGATTTTTCTTGTCATTTTTTTTCACTTCGTATGTACGTGTCAAATGAATGCGAATTCTCTTTTCATTAGTGATCTTTTCGGATGACCAATCTTGTTTTTGCGATGCCTGATTCGTCTACGTCTACCATTCACCTGCGTGAACTATACGCTCAAATCTGATTGAAATCGCTCGTTATGGATGTTTGGGTTTAAGCGTTAACTTTTGATCAGCAAAAGCTTGATTGTCCCTTTTCCTCCTTCCTCCTTTTCGTCGCGTGCATGGCATGTAATGACCGGATCTTACTCAACGTAGCATGAGTAGGATACTTGCATGTATGACGAATGTGTTCGGAACCCTGAACAAATCCATTGTTACTCGCGTACACGGTCGTCTGCGTGAGTCAGCCTAAGCCCCGTGTGAGACTGAAGGGGACCAAACTTGCGAAACAGATATGGCTGCGGGATTTCCCTCTTGAACGTTTGATCGTGAGCGTCTGAGGGACTCGGAAAGTGAACAACTCAGACGGCAAGGGAACTTAAGAAATTTTGAATTCCCCTGTCTAACACAAAACGACTGATTGTGCGCAAGGGACTTTCATTGTGCCATAACTAACGATCCTAGGGGCCCCGATTACCCGGATACTTATAACACGCAATACTTCATATCCCCCGGCTTCGTCGTTATTGCCATCAATTTCCCTCCCTTTCACCTCCTCCTTCCATATCGCCAGCTCACGGTGGTGCTGTGGAATTCCATAGCCCGCTATTGGCCCCACACACCGTGTGAAAAGTGTCGGCGGCACCAGGCATATCGAGCCTCGGAAATCACTCGACGAGCCCGAACCGAAGCCGAGTGGCACTGACAATCTGTCGGACTGCGCCACCAACCGCGAAAGCGAATCCCGAGGAGATGGTGACTTCCATGTTCGGGTTTTGAAGCTGACGAAAATTGAGTTCGTCGGGAGGAGCAGTGTTGTTGGGATATCCAAAAATTGAGTTGGGCAGATGACTAGGCCATTCGCCATGGAAACAATGCCTAGTCGCCCTGAGCTGTTTTAATATCCAAAAATTTAGTATTTCTCTGACTTTGTCTTCAAAAGAAAAGCAAATATGGGCAGGGGACTGAACCATTCACAGTAGAAACA